GACGGTGGTGGTGGTGGTGGAATGGTGGATGCAAGTGGACGTGGTGGTGGTGGTGGTGGTGGTGGGACGCGTGTGGTGGTGGTGGTAATGGTGGGACGGTGGTGGTGGTGGTGGTAATGTGGACGCGTGGTGGTGGTGGTGTGGTGGGTGGTGGTGGAGGACGTGGTGGTGGTGGTGGTGGTAATGGGACGTGGTGGTGGTGGTGTGGTGTGGGACGCGTGGTGGTGGTGGTGGTGGAATGGTGGGACGTGGTGGTGGGTAATGGTGGTGGTAATGGGACGCGTGGTGGTGGTGGCAATGGGACGTGGTGGTGGTGGTGGTGGCAATGGTGGACGTGGTGGTGGTGGTGGTGGCAATGGTGGTGGTGGGACGCGTGGTGGTGGTGGTGGTGGTGGTGGTGCGGTGGTAGAGGGAAGAGGTGAGGGAAGGAGGTGGTGGTGGGAGGGGAAGAGGTGGTGGTGGTGGGGAGGGAGGGAGGTGAGGGAAAGAGGTGGTGGTGGTGGAGGGAAATAGGTGGTGGTGGTGAAGGAGGAGGTGGTGGTGGATGGGAAAGAGGGGAAAGAGGTGGTAGAGGGAAAGTGGTGGTGGTGGGGGAAGAAGAGGTGGTGGGTGAGGTGGTGGTGAGGGAAAGAGGTGGTGGTGGTGAGGGGAAAGAGGTGGGTGGTGTGAGGGAAAGAGGTGGTGGTGGGAGGGGAAAGAGGTGGTGGGTGTGAGGGGAAAGAGTGGGAGGTGAGGTGATGGTGAGGGGAAGAGGTGTGGTGGAGGGTGAGGGAAAGAGGTGGTGGTGGTGGGGGAAAGATGGTGGTGGTGAGGGAAAGAATGGTGGTGGTGGGGAAAGAGGTGGTGTGGTGAGGGGAAAGAGGTGGTGGTGGTGGAGGGAAAGAGGTGGTGGTGGTGAGGGAAAGAGGTGGTGGTGGTGAGGGGAAAGAGGTGGTCGTGGTGAGGGGAAAGAGGGTGGTGGTGAGGGGAAAGAGGTGGTGGTGGTGAGGGAAAGAGGTGGTGATGGTGAGGGAAAGGGTGGTGGTGGTAGGGAAAGAGGTGGTGGTGGTGAGGGGAAGAGATGGTGTGGTGAGGGTGAGGTGGTGGTGAGGGGAAGAAGGTGGTGGTGGTGGGGAAGAGGTGGTGGTGGTGAGGGGGAAAGAGGTGGTGAGGGGAAAGAGGTGGTGATGGTGAGGGGAAAGGGTGGTGGTGGTGAGGGGAAAGAGGTGGTGGTGGTGAAGGGAAAGAGGTGGTGGTGAGGTGAGGGAAAGAGGTGGTGGTGGTGAGGGGAAAGAGGTGGTCGTGGTGAGGAAAGGTGGTGGTGGTGAGGGGAAAGAGGTGGTGTGAGGTGGTGGTGAGGGGAAAGAGGTGGTGTGGTGGTGGTGAGGGAAAGAGTGGTGAGGTGGTGGTGAGGGAAAGAGGTGGTGGTGGTGAGGGAAGAAGGTGAGTGAGGTGGTCGTGGTGAGGAATGAGGTGGTGGTGGTGAAGGGGAAAGAGGTGGTGGTGAGGGGAAAGAGGTGGTGATGGTGAGGGAAAGAGGTGTCGTGGTGAGGGGAAAGAGGTGGTGGTGAGGGGAAGGAGGTGATGGTGAGGGGAAAGAGGTGGTGTTGAGGGGAAGGAGGTGGTGGTGGTGAGGGGAGGGAGGTGGTGGGAGAAATGTGATGGAGGATGACATCCAGGTGGAGGAGGAAGGAGGGAGCAGGGAGGAGGGGAAGGAGGGAGCATTTTAGCGGTGGGCGGCGCAGGAAGGAGGGAGTGAGGGAGGGAAGGAAGGAGGGAGGGAGGGAGAGACCGGGGCAGCAGCATCACAGTGAGATCTTTGCTTTCCCAGGTAAGATGGCCGCCCCCAAAGGAGGGGGTGAGGGGGGGGGATTGTTTATGTTGGTGATCATATCGGTGTAATGGTGAGGGAGGGGTGAGAGAGGGAGGGGGAATTGTTAGGACATATTTGCGTCTTAAGGGTGATAGAGGAGGCGGGGTACTGAAGGAAGTGGAGGGGAGGAAGATGAGAAACAGGATCACAAGCGAGGAGAGAACACTCATCAAGACGGAGGACGAGAGTCCTGTGTACCTCTGTAACTCTACCTGTCCTGTACCTCTGTAACTCTACATAGCTCTACCTGTCCCTGTACCTGTCCCTGTAACTCTACCTCTGCTTACCTGTCCTCTGCTCTACTCCTCTTCTCTAGCTGTAACTGTCTGTCTATCTGTAAATATATGGTGTGTCTAGGAGGTGAGGTGGTGGTGTGGATGGACAGGTGGTGGTGTGGATGGGCAGGTGGTGGTGTGGATGGACAGGTGGTGGTGTGGATGGACGGGTGGTGATGTGGATGGACAGGTGGAGGGATGAGGTTAGTGGTTTGAGGAAGAGTAATGGTTGAGGGTGGAGGGGCGACGTTTGAGGGTGGGAGGACGAGGGTGGATGGGTGAAGGTGGAGTGAGGGTGGAGTGGCGGCCATTGATCCAGCGGCGCTCTGCTAAATAACTCACAGTTATCGATGGCACTATCGAGTCTCCCTCAAGGTGCAGCGCTTCTCTCTGATGGCGAGGGTCACCTAGTGGCACCCGGGGCACTGTCATGGCACCCAGGGGCACTGTCATGGCAGGGCACTCATGGCAGGGGCCCTCTTGCCAGGGTACTGTCGTGGCACTGGCACTGTCATGGCTCTCTGGCACTCATGACGCCTGGGGCTTTAGCACTGTCATGACACCAGGGCGCTGTCATAGTACCAGGGCCCTCATGGCACCCAGGGTACACATAGCACTGTCATGGCTCAGACGCCTGGGGCTTTGGCACTGTCATGACACCAGGGCACTGTCATAGGTTTTGTCATTGTATGGTAAATATACATTCCTGTGACGTCATTGGTGGAGAACACATTCCCTGTGACGTCATTGGTGGAAAATAAACACATTCCTGTGACGTCATTGGAGAGTAGACATTCTGTGGCGTCATTGGTGGAAATCAAACATTATGACAGTCATTGGTGGAAGTAAACATTCCTGTGACGTCATTGGTGAAAATACATTCCTGTGACGTCATTGGTGGAGGTAAACACATTCCTGTGACGTCATTGGTGGGAGAGGTAAACACATTCCTGTGACGTCATTGGAGGTAAACATTCCTGTGACGTCATTGGTGAGAATAAACATTCCTGTGACATCATTGGTGGAGTAAACATTCCTGTGACGTCATTGGTGGAGGTAAATACAACGTCATTGGTGGAAGTAAACATTCCTGGCGTCAGGAGTAAAACATTCCTGTGACGTCATTGGTGGAGTAAAACATTCCTGTGACGTCATTGGTGGAAGTAAACATTCCTGTGACGTCATTGGTGGAGGTAAACATCCTTGCACACGTCAGTGGAAATCAAAATCAGGAAGTTCTTTACGCGATTCTCTAAATAAAGACAAGGAGGAGAGGAGAAAGGAAGAAAAGAGAAGGAGGGAGAGGAGAAGGAGGGAGGAGGAGGATGCTGCTTTCGTCCTCCGTGTTTGGGAGACCAGGCATCGACCTCTGCCTCCCTCCTTTGCTTGTAAAGGAGGGAGGGGGGTCAGATGTGTGTATGGGTGGGTGTGGAGTGTGCAGTGTGTGCGCGTGCGATGTGTGTGCGTGCGTGCGTGTGTGTGTGTGTGTGTGTGTGTGCGTGCAGTGTGTGTGTGTGTGTGTGTGTGGATCATATTGGGATGTTTTGTGGGTTATAAACGTCAGGTGGACTTGGCAAGACCCCCCTCAGACATCACTCCCGCCTAGAATGACAAATAGGTTGTTGAGGCATGTGGGTCTAATACTTTAGTCTGTCTCTCTGTCTATCTGTCTGTGTTTATCATCTGTCTGAGAAGGGAGGAAAACAAGACCAAGAGAAACGGAGGAGAGGTGGAAGAGAGAGAGAGAGGAACAATGAAATGATAACCACACACACACACACACACACAACACACACAACACACACACACACACACACACACACACACAACACACACACACACACACACACACACACACACACACACACACACACACACACACACACACACACACACACACACACACACACACACACACACACAACACAGGAGTGGGAGTGGGGTGTGGAGGAGAGGAGTGGGGTGTGGAGGGAGGGAGAGGGAGTGGGGTGTGGAGGAAAAAGGAGTATCATGATAATGTGTTGGGGTGTGGGGAGAGACAGAGGGGTGGCACTGACCACTTGACACAGGTGCACTGACCATGACACAGGTGGCACCAACACAGGTGCTGACCACTTGACACAGGTGGCATGAGCCCTTGACACAGGTGGCACTGACCTTGACACAGGTGGCACTGGGCCCTTGACACAGGTGGCCCTTGACTTTGGGTGGCACTGGGCCTGACACAGGTGGCATTGAGTACTTGACACAGGTGGCACTGGGCACAGGTGGCCCTTGACACAGGTGGCACTGAGCCCTTGACACATGTGCCTGACCACTGACACATGGCACTGGCACTTGTCACAGGTGGCACTGAACCACCTGACACAGGTGGCACTGGTACTGACACATGGCTGACCATGACACAGGTGGCACTGACCACTTGACAGGTGGCACTGGCCCTTGTCTGGGTGGCACTAGTGCTGACGTGGCACTGACCACTTGACACAGGTGGCACTGCCACTTGACACAGGTGGCACTGAGCCCTTGTCACAGGTGGCACTGGTGCCAGACACATGTGCTGTGCACATGTGCACCACCGACACAGGTGGCACCAGCCTCGACACAGTGTGCTTGTCTGAAGTGCTGGCTGACACATGTGGCACTGAGCACTGTCACAGGTGGCACTGAGCCCTTGACACAGGTGCTTTGACACAGATGGCACTAGTACTTGACACATGTGGCACTGAGCACTTGACACATGTGGCACTGAGCACTTGACACATGTGGCACTGACCACTGACATGTACTGAGCACTTGTCACAGGTGGCACTGAGCCCTTGACACAGGTGGCACTGAGTGCTTGACACATGTGTCATGAAATGACACATGTGTCACTGACCACTTGACACATGTGGCACTAAGTACTCACATGTGGCACTAGATGTCACATGTGGCACTGAACCTTCTGGTGGCACTGAGTGCACACATTGCTCGGACACTACACGTTCGCCCAGGCTGAGCACACAGGTGCACCTGGGTAGCACTGAGCACTTGACACAGGTGGCTGACCATGACACAGGTGGCACTGAGCACTTGACACAGGTGGCATTGAGTACTTGACACATGTGGCGCGACCACTTGACACAGGTGGCACTGGGCCCTTGACACAGGTGGCACTGACGCAACACAGGTGGCACTGAGCACTTGACACAGGTGCACTGAGCACTTGACACAGGTGGCACTGACCACTTGACCCAGGTGGCACTGAGCACTTGACACAGGTGGCACTGGTATGACACATGTGGCACTGACCACTTGACACAGGTGGCACTGAGCCCCTTGACACAGGTGGCACTGAGCACTTGACACAGGTGGCACTGAGCCTGACACAGGTGGCACTGAGCACTTGACACAGGTGGCATTAGACACATGTACTGACCACTTGACACAGGTGGCACTGGGCATGACACAGGTGGCATTAGTGCCTTGACACATGTGGCATGACCACTGACACAGGTGGCACTGGGCCCTTGACACAGGTGGCACTGACCACTGACACAGGTGGCACAGGCATGACACAGGTGCTGAGCATGACACAGGTGGCACTGACCACTTGACACAGGTGGCACTGAGCATGACACAGGTGGCACTGAGTACTTGACACATGTGGCACTGCCACACAGGTGGCACTGAGCCCCTGACACAGGTGGCACTGAGCACTGACACAGGTGGCACTGAGCCCCTTGACACAAGTGGCACTAAGCATTACAGGTGGCATTGAGCCCTTGACACAGGTGGCACTGAGCCCATGACACAGGTGGCACTGGGCACTTGACTAGGTGGCACTGAGCACCACTGGTAGGACGAGTTGCAGAGGTGAGTGAGGTGGGGAGCGAGGGTGTTAACCTGGAGAACTGGTGAATTAAGGCAGGTGAGGAGGGAGAGTCAGCTGGTGGTATATTATGATGGAGGAGGGTGGGGAGGGAGGGGTGAGGGAGGAGGGATGAGAGGGAGGAGGGATGGGGAGGGAGGGGGTGAGGAGGAGGATGGGGAGGGAGGGTGAGGGGAGGAGGGATGAGGAGGGAGGGTGGGAGGAGGATAGGGGAGGAGGGGTGAAACAGGAGGGTGAAATGGGAAGGAGGAGGGTGAGGGAGGAGGTGAAAGTAGGATGGAGGGTGCAGCAGGAGGGTGCAGCAGGAGGGTGAGGCAGGAGGGTGCAGCATGAGGGTGAGGGAGGAGGGTGAGGAGGGGGATGAGGAGGAGGGTGTGAAGCAGGAGGGTGAAGCAGGAGTGGGGTGAGGGAGGGAGGGGGTGAGGGAGGAGGGTGAAGCAGGGAGGGTGAAGAGGGAGAGGGTGAGGAGGAGGGTGAGGAGGGAGGGTGAAGTAGGATGGAGGAGGGGTGCAGCAGGAGGGGTGAAGCAGGAGGGTGAGGCAGGAGGGGTGCAGCAGGAGGGTGAGGAGGAGGGGGTGAGGGAGGAGGGATGAGGGAGGGAGGGTGGAAGCAGGAGGGTGAAACAGGGTGGGGTGAGGAGGAGGGTGAGGAGGAGGGGTGAAACAGGAGGGTGAGGGAGGGAGGGTGAAGCAGGAGGGGTGAAGCAGGAGGGTGTGAAGCAGGAGGGTTGAGGCAGGAGGGAGGGTTGAGGCAGGAGGTAAGCTGGAGGGGAAGTAGGAGGGAGGAGGGAGTGAAGCAGGAGGAGGGTGAGGAAGGAGGGTGAAGCGGAGGGTGAGAAGTAGGATGGAGAGGAGGGCTGAAGCAGGAGGAGTTGAGGAGGAGGGTAAAAGGAGGGTGAAACAGGAGGAGGGTGAGGGAGGAGGGGTGAAGCTGGATGGGGTGAGAGGAGAGGGGTGGGAAGCAGGAGGAGTGAAGCAGGAGGGTGAGAAGGAAGGGCAGAAACTGGAGGGTGAGGAGGGAGTTGAGGCAGGAGGGGTTAGAGGCAGGAGGGTTAGGAGGATTGAGAGCAGGAGAGGTGCAGCAAGAGGGGTGCAGCAAGAGGGTGCAGCAGGAGGGGTGAAGCAGGAGGGGTGCAGCAGGAGGGTGAAGCAGGAGGGGTGAAGCAGGAGGGTGAGGCAGGAGGGGTTGAGGCAGGAGGGGTTGAGAGCAGGAGGGTGAAGCAGGAGGTTGAGGCAGGAGGGGTGAGGAGGAGGGTGAAGTAGGAGGGAGGAGGGAGTGAAGCAGGAGGGTGAGAGGCAGGAGGGTGAAGCAGGAGGGTGAAGCAGGAGGGTGGAGGGAGGGTGAGACAGGAGGGTGAAGGAGGGTTGAGGCAGGAGGGTGAAGCAGGAGGGTGAGGCAGGAGGGGTGAGGGAGGAGGGGTGAAGTAGGAGGGAGGAGGAATGAAGCAGGAGGGGTGAGGCAGGAGGGGTGAAACAGGAGGGAGGAGGGAGTGAAACAGGAGGGTGAGGACAGGAGGGTGAGGGAGCAGGAGGGTGAGGTAGGAGGGAGTGAGGCAGGAGGGTGAGGGAGGAGGGTGAAGCAGGAGGTGAAATGGGAGGAGAATTAAAGCAGAGGGGTGAGCAGGAGGGTGGAAGCAGGAGGGTGAAGCAGGAGGAGGTGAGGGAGGAGGGGTGGGAGCAGGAGGGGGTGAGGCAGGAGAGGGTGAAAGCAGGAGGGTGAAGTAGGAGGGAGGAGGGTGAAGCAGGAGGGTGGAGGCAGGAGGGGTGAAGCAGGAGGGGTGAAGCAGGAGGAGGGTGAGGGAGGAGGGGTGAGGAGCAGGAGGGGTGGAGGCAGGAGAGGGTGTGAAGCAGGAGGGTGAAGTAGGGAGGGTGAAAGGAGGAGGGAGGTGCAGCGGGAGGGTGAGGAGGAGGGGTGCAGCAGGAGGGTGAGGAGGAGGGAGAGGAGGGGAGGAGGCAGGAGTGCAGCAGGAGAGGTGAGGAGGAGGGTTGAGGCAGGAGGGGTGAAGCAGGAGGGTGCAGCAGGGAGGGTGAGGGAGGAGGGGTGAAGCCAAGAGGAAGAAGTACACACACAGACAGGCCAAACACCTGGTTAGAAGCTGACTATCAGCTCCATTAAGCCAACAGGTAAATAATAGAGCACCGACACACAGGGCCAGCAGACATCCATCACCGCAGACAGCTCCGGGGATGTGTCTTGGGAAGTGATGATCTGCTGCGGCATGTTGGACACTCATTCTGTCTGCGGCATGGTGGAGGCACTCATTCTGTCTGCGGCACATGGTGGACGCACTCCTGTCTGCGGCACATGGTGGACACTCATTCTGTCTGCAGCACATGGTGGACGCACTCACTCGTCTGCTGCACATGGTGGACGCCTCATTCTTGTCTGCGGCACATGGTGGACGCACTCACTCTCTGTCTTCGGCATATGGTGGACACGCACCTCACTCTGTCTGCTGCACATGGTGGCGCACTCACTCTGTCTGCGGCACATGGTGGAGGCCTCATTCTGTCTGCTGCACATGGTGGTCGCACTCACTCTGTCTGCGGCACATGGTGACGCACCATTCTGTCTGCAGCATCATGGTGACGCACTCACTCTGTCTGCGGTACATGGTGGACGCACTCACTCTGTCTGCAGCACATGATGGACGCACTCACTCTGTTCAGGCACATGGTGGACGCACTCATTCTGTCTGCGGCACATGGTGGACGCACTCACTCTGTCTGCGGTACATGGTGGACCACTACTCTGTCTTCGGCACATGGTGGACGCACTCACTCTGTCCGGCACATGGTGGGAGCATCACTGTCTGCGGCACATGGTGGACGCACTCACTCTGTCTGCGGCACATGGTGACGCACTCACTCTGTCTGCGGTACATGGTGGACGCACTCACTCTGTCTGCGGCACATGGTGACGCACTCACTCTGTCTGCGGCATACGGTGGACGCACCACCTCTGTCTGCGGCACATGGTGGACGCACTACCTGTCTGGTGGCACATGGTGGACGCACCTCACTCTGTCTCGGCACATGGTGGACGCACTCACCTGTCTGCGCACATGGTGGACGCACTCACTCTGTCTGCGGCACAGACGCACTCACTCTGTCTGTGGCACATGGTGGACGACTCACTCTGTCTGCGACACATGGTGGACGCACTCACTCTGTCTGCGGCACATGGTGACGCACTCACCTGCGACATTGTGGAGGCACTCACTCTGTCTGCGGCACATGGTGGACGCACTCACTCTGTCTGGCACATGGTGGACGACTCACTCTGTCTGCGCACATGGTGGACGCACTCACTGCCTGCGGCACATGGTGACGCACTCATTCTGTCTGCGGCACATGGTGGAGGCACCTCGTCTGCTACAGGATGCACCACTATGTCTGCGGCACATGGTGGACGCACTCACTCTGTCTGCGGCACATGGTGGACGCACTACTCTGTCTGCGACACATGGTGGACGCACTCACTCTGTCTCTGACACATGGTAGACGCACTCACTCTGTCTGCGGCACATGGTGGACGCACTCACCTGTCTGCGGCACATGGTGGACGCACTCACTCTGTCTTCGGCACATGGTGGACGCACTCACTCTGTCTGCGGCACATGGTGGACTTACCATTCTGTCTGCGGCACATGGTAGACGCACTCTCTGTCTGCGGACACATGGTGGACGCACTCACTCTGTCTGCGGCACATGGTAGACGCACTCACTCTGTCTGCGGCACATGGTGGACGCACTCACCTGTCTGCTGTACAAGATCTGAGAACGCACTCGATTTAATAAGAGAACAGGTGTAAGTTAGGTTAGTTTAGGTATGGTTACGTTAGGTATGGTTAGGGGTGTTCAGGTTAGGTTAAATTAAGTCAGGTTAGGTTAGGTTAGGTTAAGTGGTGTACAGGTGATGGGCAGGACACGGGGCTCCAACTACCCGTCAACAGTCTTACCTGACGTGACCTGCACTGGGCGGCACAGGTGGGTTGAGGGGTGGACCAGGGTACAGGTAACATCGTAAGGGTAATGAGGACACGGTACAGGTGTGAGGCCTCATTAGTAACGAACAGGTGGCTTCTTGTCCTTCGCTGGTCAGGAGATTGTAGGTGTTGGTGTGGTTGGCTGCGTGCATGGTTGGCATTGGCACTCAGCATTCTAACCTATCCCATATTAGTTGTGTTAAGGCCAAGTTTCATATTCCGTCCACCTCACTAGCTGCCGTGCTCCTGTAGAGGTACTGCTGGCTGCTGCTGCTGTAGAGGTACTGCTGGCTGCTGTTGCTGTAGAGGTACTGCTGGCTGCTGCTGTTGTAGAGGTACTGCTGGCTGCTGCTGCTGTGAGGTACTGTGCGCTGTACCTGAACAGGCTGCTGTAGAGGTACTGCTGGCTGCTGCTGCTGTAGAGGTACTGCTGGCTGCTGCTGTTGTAGAGGTACTGCTGGCTGCTGCTGTTGTAAAGGTACTGCTGGCTGCTGCTGTTATAGAGGTACTGCTGGCTGCTGCTGTAGAGGTACTGCTGCTGCTGTTGTAGAGGTACTGTTGGCTGCTGCTGTAGAGGTACTGTTGGCTGCTGCTGTAGAGGACTGCTGGCTGCTGCTGCTGCTGCAGAGGTACTGCTGGCTGCTGCTGTAGAGGCTACTGCTGCTACTGTAGAAGTACTGCTGGTTGCTGCTGTAGAGGTACTGTTGGTCGTTAATATCGGTGTGATGAATGATTTGACCAAACGTAGTTTATTTTCTGTGGCAGGCAGATGAAGGTTACAGGGGAGAGGGATGAGGGAGGGGGGAGGAAGAGGGAGAGGGAGAAGAGGAACAGTGAAGAGAGGTAGATAGAGAAGAGGTGAGGGAGAAGAAAAGACGCAACGATGTAGTGGGGAGAGGGAAGAAAGAGAAAAGGGATATTATTGGCCACTGACACCGACCCATCCCTTTACCTGTTGATTGAACCAAAACACGACACCTGGGTCATCAATCATTCTCCAGGTGAGACCTTACCTGCTCGAGGTGTACTGAGAGGGGGTGAGGGAGAGTTAGGGGAAGGAAGGTTGTGGGTGGTGATGTGGAGGGAGAGAGGGAAGAGAGAGAGGGAAGGAGGGGGAGTGGGGAAAGTAATAAAAGGAAGGAAGGAAAGGTAGGAAGGAAGAGAGGGAGGAGGAAGGAAGGTGGAACGGGAGAGAGAGGGGGAGGGAGGGGAGGAATGGATTGAACGGTAGATAAGAAGGGTGAATAGGGAAAGGAAGGGAGGATTGAAGGGAAGGATGGGTGAGAAGGTAGGGAGGAGAATGGATGGAGAGGAAGGGAGGATGGATGAGCAATTTACATACAAGTGTTCATCTCAACTATGTGTATGGCCATGGTCCCCCCTCACCACCTCACCCCCACCTCACCCCCACGACCACCACTGAGGTCCCACCCCACCAAAGACCTCCACCCTTACTAAACCCCCCATTACATCACCCCCCACCACACTGACAGCATAAGATTGCTTTTAGGTACAACACGGAGGAGGGTGAGATGATACTGTGTGTGTGTGTGTGTGTGGGTGTGTGGGTGGGTGTGTGTGGTGTGGTGTGTGTGTGTGTGTGGGTGGGTGTGTGTGTGTGGGGGTGTGTGGTGGGTGGTGGGTGGTGTGTGTGTGTGTGTGTGGGGTGGGTGTGTGTGTGGGTGTGGGGTGGGTGGGTGTGTGTGTGTGTGGGGTGTGTGTGTGTGGGTGGGTGGGTGGGGTGGGGGTGTGTGTGTGTGTGTGTGTGTGGGGTGGGTGGGTGTGTGGGTGGGTGTGGGTGGGTGTGTGTGTGTGTGTGTGTGTGTGTGTGTGTGTGTGTGTGTGGGTGTGTGTGTGTGTGTGGGTGTGGGGTGTGGGTGGGTGGGTGGGTGTGTGTAGGGTGGATGGTGTGGTAATTATTATTATTACTACTTCCTTCGCTTAATTATATCACTGTAATAATAATAACACCAACACTACCAGGTCTCAGGTAGGGAGCTCATTAGTAATAAGACTCGACTATACTGTACAGGTAAAGGCTTAATTATTGACATATTGACTGGCGAATTATTGGGAGACAATGAAAGAAGAGATCAACAGAGAAGGAAGGAATGAATGAAGAGTGTGATGAAGGAAGGAATGAATGAAGAGTGTGATGAAGGAAGGAATTGGTGGAGAAGAAGGAAGGAATGAATGAAGAGTGTGATGAAGGAAGGAATTGGTGGAGAAGAAGGAAGGAATGAATGAAGAGTGTGATGAAGGAAGGAATTGGTGGAGAATGAAGGAAGGAATTGGTGGAGAAGCTGCTATGAGGTGACAAGGATGGTGGCACTAATGGACTTGTGTCAAGGGCTCACGTATGCCAGGTACTACTCCAGCTGAGAGGGGAGGGGCACAGAGTGAGAGATAGAGAGAGAGAGGAGAGAGACGAGGGTACATAGGAGAGAGAGAGAGAGAGGGTGGTGTAGAGGAGAGAGAGAGAGGGTGGTGAGGAAAGAGAGAGAGAGGGGGTAAGGAGGAGAGATAGAGGAGGAGAGAGGAGACGAGGGTACTGGAGGAGAGAGAGAGAGAGGGTGGTTTAGGAGGAGAGAGAGAGAGAGGGGGGTACTGAGTGAGAGAGAGAGGGGGGAGGGGTATACTCAGGTAACTTCTCATTATTACAGGTGTGTTTTTTGTTTACTTTTATTTTGTTTTGTTTATTTACCGGATTTGTTTACTGTTTGCTGAATGAGTTTTTGTTTTGAATATTTATTTTGGTATCTGGTCAAATTACCTTTGTTTAAGATGTCAGTGTACGTTAGGTTTGGTTAGGTTAGGTTGGGTTAGGTTAGGTTAGTTTAGGTTAGGTTAGTTTAGGTTGGGTTAGGCAGGGTTAGATTATGTAGCTTAGGCCAGGTTAGGTTGGGTTAGTTTAGGCCAGGCTAGGTTGGGTTAGCTTAGGCCAGGCTAGGGTTGCTAGTTTAGCCAGGCCAGGCTGGGCTAGCTTAGGCCAGGCCAGGCTGGGCTAGTTAGGCCAGGCCAGGCTGGGCCAGGTTAGTTGTACAGGCTGGGGTTATGCGAGGCTGAGGTTGGGGTTATTTAGGCTAGGCTAGGTCAGTTAGTTGCAGCTGGTCATTAGCTCAGGCTAGGCTGGGTTAGTTTAGGGCGGCTGGGTTGGTTAGTTTGAGCCAGTGGGTTAGTTTAGGCTGGCCAGGCTGGGTTGGACTTAGGCCAGGCCAGGCTGGGTTAGCTT